CCCGGGGCAGGGCAGGGTGGGGTGGGGTGGGGTGGGGCGGGGCGGCCAGCACTGCCGCGGACATAATCACTATTTGTCACCGCACCGCGCAGCCCTCATAACTCTCCCGCCGCGCCGCGGAATGTCGCGTGGTTGTCGTCGTGGAGGTGTTCTCTCTCTCTACCTCTCACCTCACCCCTCAGGTGGGTGGGCGGACGCTATTGTGCGTGTGAATATTAAGGGCGGGCGTCCAGCGTAGAGGGGCATTCCAAAGCGGAAGGACCACCGCTGCCCGCCGCCCCTCCAGCAGCAGCAGCACACCACTCCACTCTCTCGGCTCGCGAAAAACACGGAGTGACCCCCCAGGGGGGTTGAGGGGGTAGAGAGGGTGAGGGGGCACCGCCCCCGCGGAGGTCACCGCCAGAGAAGGAGTGGAGTAGTTCTCACTCCCTGCGGCGGCTCCTCCAGTGCGCGTGCCGGATGGGCGGCCATTCCCGCCTTCCTGCTGGAAACTGGAGAGAGAGAGAGCGAGAGAGAGAGAGAGAGAGAGAGAGAGAGAGAGAGAGAGAGGGGGGGGGGCGCCTGGAGAACGCTATGGTCCGTGTGTTGCAACCCCCCCTGTGGTTCGGCGGGGTCCGGCCGAGGTGCTGCGGCGGTACGGAGTGAGTGATCGGGAGGGCTTTTCAATAACTCCGCAGCCGCGTGTAACAGCCGTGTTGCATGGAAATGAGCCGGCGTCTGCCGCCGGGCTGGGGTGACAAGCGGCCGTCGTCGGCGCGCGGGTATGTAGTGAACCTCCTGGGGTACTCGAGTACACCTCGGGAGGAAGGTGGTGGTGTACTCTAGGGGCGCCGGGGGGGACGGGCGGCGGCAGCTACAAGGTGTTGTGCTGTGCAAGCAAACGGCCGCCCGAACCTCTCTCGTAAAAGGCTGTTTTATTGAGGCCGATTGAAGGGGGAAAAGACCATGTTGGCGTTGTGCATCTTTGGCGATCGGATCAGGTGATTGGTGTGTAAGTACACGGCGACGCGCCGGTGCGGCCGTGCGGCGGCCTGATTTAGGGGCGGCACCGAGCGGCGGGGCGGGGCGGGCATCTCAATCGGGAAGGGATAGAGGAATGGGAGGCTCAAGGGCGCCAAGTGTCGCACTTATCGAGTACGGAAAAGTACTGCATTAGGGCTCTCTTGCGCAATGCCGCGCACAAGACCAGAGAGAAATGGGGAGAGAGATGGAGAGAGAGGGAGAGAGATGTCCAGCTCCAGCCCACGCCGGACGTCGTCGGGACACGCCCTAGGGGGCCGCGCCCGGACCGGATCGACCATACGTCCAGCCCCGGCCGAATGCAAACGGTCATCTTTGCCTCTCCTTCTCTCTCCCTCTCTCTCTCTCTCTCCCAGGTTGGGCCACAGTAATAATATCGTGATGTGACACACCGCAGAGCGTTATTGAATCCATCCACCAGGCGCTGGGAATGTTAATGAGAGCCGGGGGCGCTGCTCGCCCACCCAGCGCAACGGCTACAATTATTGATTTGGGTCCCGACACCCTCCCTGGCGGCCCCGGCACCTTCGGCGCGGTGCCCCTCGGGGGCTGACAGAGGTTCACTTGGTTATGACCAATATATACTGTATATACTGGAAGTTCAACCCGTTCAACCGTACGCCGATTTTTTCCTCTTTTGATTCCAATGCACTGGAAATGCAAGTGCGTGAATGTCGGTCACCTACAGGTGGGTGAGCGACATTCCATTCGTACACTTGGGGGGGTAAAGGTGTGAATTTTTCCGTTTCCATTCAGGTGAGCGACATTCACACACTTGCATTTCCAGTGTGCACTTTTCCTGATTTTTTTTTTTTTTTTCAGAGGGCGTAAACCATTGTTTTCTTTTTGGGAGGGAAGTACCCCTTGGAGGCTGATCGCTCCGTATAAGCAGCTCACCGGGGGAATGAAATCGATCCGAACAGGGGAGTCGCCACCGACGGCGCGTCGGCGACGGTCCAGACAGTCGGCGGGGCCTCCTCTCTGTAGGGAGGGCTTACCAAACCCGTGCCCGTTACAGTGAGCACTTCACTTTGTACACCTCCGCCCGGGCCGCGCCGGCCTCGGGCACCACGCCCCTCCAGCAGCCGGCCGCCGGCCGTACCCTTAGGAAGGAGGGATCCGTTTCGACACGGCCCGGCCTTTCTATCGATCATTAATCGCGCCGCTACCGATCAACTGAATCAACCTCGGTCACGGGCACGCCCTTCATGCGTCCCGCGTATGACCACCACACGCGGCCCCGGCGCAGCTTTAGCTTAGGCGCGTCCGACCGAGTGCGCGCGTGTGGGGCGCTCTTTACGACTGGATCAACAGGTAGGTATGTACGGGACAATGCGGCGCGGCACCGCCCTCAACCATCTACCCCCCCCCTCCCCCCCCGCTCTCCCCTGGCGGTCTTCCCTCCCCCTCTCTCTCACCCTCCACCTTCTCTCTGTACCTCTCTCCCTTTCTCTCCCTTTCTCATTTACCCTATCTCGGCCTCTCTCTCCCTTTCTCTAACTTACCCTGTCACGGTCTCTCTCTCTCTCCCTCCCCCACTCTCTCTTTTCCCTCTTTCGGGATCGACTCCCCGTCGAGGGTCGAACGCCCGCCCGCCCGCACGCCGGGGTCACGGGGTGGTATGATGACTCCCGGACGGACGGAGGTGCATAGCATACATTACACGCATGATGCTCGGGGTCATCGATAGGTGCGATGCATCTTCTAATTAGTCGAGCGAGGCGGGGGAGCCGTGACCCCGAGAGACCTGAACGCTGTGCGCAGGGGGCCGGGGGCCCTGCAACTGGACTGGAAGGTGTCTCTAGACTCCGTCGGCCCCATGGTTTGGTCGGGCATAGTTCCGAGCTGCCAGCAGTTCTCATCGTCCTCCAGGTCCAGGCGTCAGTCACGGTCTGGCGCTCCACAAGTAAGACACCAGGTTCGGTCTTAAAGTTTGCCCAACTCACACACCAGGTTTGTTCAAATTCCAGTTTTGGTCATTCAAGTTTTTGCTTCTATACCAGGTGTGGTCCTTACATTTGCCTCTCTAGGTTTGGCACTTGGTTTGGCCGACCAGGTGTGGGGTCCTTAAAGTTTGCGCCCCTGCTCCAGGTTTGGACCGCGCGAGTTTTCGGCCTGCCACACGCGCCACGCGTTTTGTTGGCATCAAGTGACAAATTGGCGACGAACAATGGGTCGAGCCGGGCCGCCCCGCCCGGCGTCGCGCTCGCGTGGCGCGACGAGTGGGGGTAGGGAGGGAGGGGCGGGAGAGGCGGGGCAGAGGTCAGCTCGGATGCAATTAGTTTTCCTCCGGGTGAGTCTGACTGGAGCCTCCAGGAGGGGCTGGCTGCCCTTCCCCCGCCGCTGAACAGTACAGTACTCTCTGGCGCGGACTGCTGCAACACTTCTCTGGAGCCCCCCTCCCTCCCTCCCTCCCTCCCTCTCCTCACAGCCCCACCGCGGCACACCCTCCGCTTCCGGAAGTGCGCGACGTTTTGCACGACAGTTTCCTTCCTTTCTGGCCGCTCCTCGCCCACGCGCCGTGGAGTTGGGCACGCGCGTCTCGGTGTGCGTGCGTAAGCACATAACACTAGGAGTTTTAAGGTCTGAAATTTTCCCCGAAAAATGGCAAAACTTTTAACAGAAAAAAATTGATTTTCCGTTTTTGAAATTTTCAGAAAAGTTTGAAAATTAAAACTTTTAAGGAAAACATTCAGACGGTGCACTGTAAAAATCTTACGGTGAATTTTACTGTAAGCTACGGTGACCCCCTGCAGCACCGCTTACGGTGATATTCACCGTAGCCTACAGTGAAGTTCACCGTAGCTTACGGTGAATTCACTGTAGCCTACGGTGAATTTCACCGTAGGCTACGGTGAATATCACCGTAAGCCACGGTGAATATCACCGTAAGCTACGGTGCTGCAGGGGGTCACCGTAGCTTACAGTGAAATTCACCGAAAGATTTTTACAGTGTGAAAAAGAAAAATTCTTGAAAAAATTCCCAAAAATATTTTTCTGAAAAATTTAAGTCCCTAGGCTGCAAACCGACGGCACGCCCTCCCTGGCCCGTACCGGCTCGCGCGGCAGGAGGCCCGCGGCCGAGCTGATTGGGACACGACGGCTCCGCGCTCGGCTAGTTTGTCCAGCGCCCCGCAGAGTGCCAAACTTGAACTCCGGCTCAGCCAGCAGCTCCCCGCGGGGCTCCCAGTGGAGAGCAGCGCTGTCCAGCCAGAGTCCAGAACGAACCTCATGGCCCACGCCCCGCCACCACACGGCCCTAGCTCATCGCGTGGCCATCGCACCCGGTCCGACAGACAAGCAGCAGCAGCAGCAATTTGTTCACAACAAACCAACCACCTCCTCCCCCACCTCCATCTCCTCCCGCTTTGCTTTCTCTGCGCCGCGCAGTATTTCTCATACTCTGCCGCGCCTCGGTCTCGCGTGCCGCGTGTTCTCAAGCCGCCCGCCGCGACTGCATATCGAGAGACAAAGCTTGAGCACCCTCTCATTATTGGTCTTGGAGTGCGTGCGTGTGTGTGTGTTGCGTGCGTGCATGTGTGTGTGTGTGTGTGTGCGTCACGCAAAGGCGCCACAGAGCAGCGCAGACATGCACTTGCCGCGGTGCTCTCACACATACGCACACACTTACTACTTCGTAAGGCCGCGTCCGAATAGGAGGAACTTCGCTCTATGTAAGAGCTACAGTATTCACATGCAGCAGCAGCAGACGAGGATGAACGCAACACCCCATACTATAAAACTGCAGGAGGCAGAGAGCGCGGTTTCTGTGTGCGCGGTGCGGTGCGCCCGGCGATGGACATGGGTGTGGCGGGGTGTGGCGGGGCGGGGCGGGGCCGGGCGGGGCGGCGGGCGGCTCTAAAATGGCCCCAGATTAGTATCTGAACGGGGTAACTCGATCCAGCGGGCTCACCGAGGCGAGCAGCGGCCTTCACTTCACCACCCTGGCGCTCTGTGTGTGTGTGTACTTTTGTTCCCGCCGTCCCCTCTTCCCTCCTCTCTCTCTCTCTCTCTCTCTCATGTCCCCACGCCACGCCCTCCCCGTCCTCAACCGCCCTTGATTAATGCAGCGGTTGCATGACGCAGGACGAACACATTCTTGTGTCTTCTTCTCTCTTAGATGGGGTCGAGGGGAGCGAGCGAGCGAGGGAGAGCGAGTGAGAGAGAAAGAGAGAGATAGACCACTTACTCGACCTTCGATGGCTGACAGACACACCATGAGAGGGAGAGGGCTGCAGGAGGGGGAAGTAGCGGGGTTGGAGGAGAGTGGGTTAGAAATAGTGTCTTCTAGAGCAAGGCGAACAAGGAAATTTTCTTCCCCACATATAGTCATCTAAAAACGTAGGGCCCCGTGCGTTAATATTATGCACGGGGTAGCTGAGCGAAGTGCATTAAAATAACGGAAGAGGTAACAATATAGAACAAAACTATAGTGAATATGGGTCCGCCTAGTAGGTGGGCAACCAGTTCTGCCCCTTGAACGACGAGAGAGAG